TGTTCTTATGTTCTTATGTTCTTAATATTTGCACTGTAACGTAAATTAGAAGTGCAACGCAAAAAAACTGGATTTTTACGCCTATTTTGAATTTTACTCGAATACAAATACAAATACTTTTCCCCCCTCAACAAATACAAATACAGATACAAATACCGGCTGCTTTGCACACCCCTACTATCTATCTATATCTGTCTTTATAGTATGTTTGACACTTTGTTTAAGTCATCCTGCTGCAATATTTTTCCTATTCTGTCTTCTTTTCGTACCTATAATGCGGCGACTAGCTTTATACTCGTCACCATCACACCTGGAAATTATATGATACCGAACCAAAAGTAATCAGAACTCAGCAAATTTTAACTTTTCACTGTGGCGATTACGTCAGGGAATCAATCCGTGGCAGGGGGCACAACACTTGCATCCTGTCTCGTGTTCCCCTACCTCGTGTTCCCCAGGTATAGCTTTTCTTATTGCATAATTAAATAATCCTTAAAATATGCTTACAACATTGGCAAAGTATTATATAATGGTGAAATTTAACGTTACTGTTCATTAGCGTCAAAGCGATCTGGGTCGAAGTATTTGCGAGGATTTCGTTTTCTTCCGGTAACTGTTGCTAGGCAACATGAAACTTCGTGCTTGTTGTTCGGTTTCTCGCAGTGAAGGCAGAGCGCTGAATACGCTAATATTTTTTTGCCATTTTAATAAATCTTCGTGTTAAAACGGATGAACTAGTGTGAGGTTATAGACGTAGAATAGTGAACTAGATCTGCAACACCAAGCGACCTTCTTACAGACATTTGAAAGTGCTTCTAGGTCTTTTTACATGTGATATTCTTTTGGTTTGCTCTGTGCAATTAACTAAAAATAGGAGGTTGTGTAGTATCCAATTTTGCTCGTTAACGCTAATAAGTAAGCACAGAGTCTTGAGAATGTGTGCCGGCAGGACACTGGAGGGGGCTGGCTGTGTGACCTGGTGGGGTTTCAGTCCAGCCTTAGATCTTGTCAGCATTGGTAAGTAGTAACACAGCCCTGCCTGCGTAATACGGAATTCTGCAGGGTTGCCTACAGTACCTTTGTCAGCTGGCTAGCACGAGATTTTCAAGTCTGCACACGTATTTACATGAATATAAGTTTCATTAGCTTGTAAACCGTCTAGGGTTTGCTAACTGCCCCAATGTTTTTAATGTTGTTAATTTTAGGTATAAAATGGATTAATAGAGATTCGCCGTAAGATTTCTTGCCGTGAGCGTTTGAGTCTGCAAGTGTTTGTGTCACGCCAGATGCGTGAGAGTTGGCAACACTCATTCTATGACCATTGAAGGATGGATAGACTTTACTCTAGAGGCGATATTTTTCAGTGCTGGGAATGAACGTAAGGTCCATGTGCACGAGCTTTCAACGCATTCTACGTAGCGTAATTATTTTAACTTTTTCAAGGCATCATGCTTTGCATTTCTCATTCCATGATCTTTTTTGAATGTCATAGTTTCGTCTCAGTTTAGGCAGGATAGATTTGCATGTTTTTTAAAATCAGCATTCAAAAAATATGCTTGATTGTGCTACAAGTGTACTGTGCCCCAAAACATGTAGTCAATGTTGCGTCTAACTTCCACGTTTGTTCGCTTTTTCTTGATTTATTTTCAGTTATCTCTGCTTTATGTTTTTGTAGTGTGTGTAAAGTCATATTTCAGAGAAATAAATGTTTTAAAACAACATGATAGATCTTCTTTTCAGTTCCTTTATTATACTTTATGATAATTACACGCAGTGGCGTAGGCAGAAATTGTATTTTGGGCGGGCCATTGAAAAAGTGAGCGGGCCTATATTTTTTCCTAGAAAAAATATTACTTAAATAATAATTAAACCTTAGAGAGTAGAAAAAATAATAGACAAACAAACTGCAAAAACACACCTTTATTTTGCAATATTCGGCAAAGGCAATAACA